ATTATTATTATTATTATTGATCCCGTCGCCAGCCGACTGAACGAGGAGTCATCAGGTTGTACAATCCATTATCGGTGAACTCGGGTTTTCTTGTGAGGAGGTGCGTGTCACGGGCGACAGGGGGAGAGAGGCGAGGAGCTGCGCCCGAGTGCAGACTATGCGCACGATCCTGCCCTGATACCGGAACAAGCAAGCGGCAACATGGCTGCTTGCACCACGACTGAAAGGATCGGGGAGGAGGGAGAGAGGGAGGGAGAGAGGGGGGTCGGTCTGCGCTCGGCTGCACTCGGGTTTTTCCGGGCCTTTACCGGTGACCGCGGTTCCTCCAGGTTGGTAAATGGCAGGTGCAGAGGATTGTGTATGTATGTTCCTCCACATCCTGCACTGTACTCTGGCTTACTGAAGACGGAACCACAGGGGGCCCAAAAAGCTCCACGTACACTTGTGTATCACTTACTTTTTGTCCCACAATGGGGGAATTCCAATGTAACAGCAGCAAAGTGGATAGAGAAAAAACAGTAAGAGTATAGACACTATGTACGAATCCACAACAACAGAAAACACAAGTAGCAGCAGCAGTTGCACATGGGCAATAGATCGCACACTGAATATGGTATTGATAACTTCTAAATGTGTGCCACTAAAGTACAATGTGATCTGGGTCCTGCATTATTATCTTGTGTCCAAATCTACTTCTAACTTTGTATCCCAGCCGCCCCAAAACCTATCCCCATCCATGATGGATGGACTGATCCTGGTCTACATATAAATAACTAAACTAATGTTGTGTAGTCTTGATGTTGCCAGTGGTGTAAACGATGGAGGGGATTCCAGGGATCCACCGAAAATTCAAGTATGATGAATGAAGGGACCAAAGAAGCCTGTTAAGATGAGTTTCATTCACAAACATTTGTATGCACACGTACATATCCTCATCTCTCTGGAAACTCCAGTCCTGCAGGTAAAGCTCACGTGTTACCTGGAAGAGTTGCCAGATATTTCTACAGTGGAGTCACACAACTATTTCCTTACACCTGTCACACTCTTAGTTTTCTACTTTATACCTCAGAGAATCCTTTATACATAAAAACAACCAAAAGTAGGTCATGTCAGGGGTCATATATTAGAGCAATGAGCCTGCAGTGATATAGTGCCTTGCTCACAGGCAGGGTGATCTTTGCCCACACTGGGAATCCTCTAGTTGGAGGATACTTTAATAATTATTCCTTTCTTTTGTTAACTATACAGAATTTTGGTGTAAAATTTAAAATGTCTTCCCCCGTCGTTTCAATCTGAATGTATCAGAGACCAAAGCCCATTGTTAAACTATACGTGGTTGCATTATGGGTCCTCGTTGCATTGTGCCATTTGTAAATATGTACCATAAGTCCGACTGTGTCATGCTGACAGCTGGCATAGACATTTTCAAGTTACTTAGCAACAGCCATGGACTGGGGAAGATAAAATGGCTGCCATTGCAAGTGGTGATGCCCGAACCCCGTCAATCAGGAGGGTCCGCAGAGAGTAGTCACCAAATATTCACCATTCGCACAATGCAAGGATGTTATGGAGAAAATAAAAAAGAAATCAGGAAATGAAGTGGTACGAGAGGCTCGTTAGTAATGACTGGGAGAGCATCCAACTGGCAGGATTTCCCGATGAATCAAGGGAAAAATCACATCCCTCATGATGGACAGAGTGTACCCAGGGGTGTACACACAGTTAAAGGAGACAAACACCTCTGTTCTCAGTGCATTCAAGTGTATTCATATCATTAGTACCCTTGTTACTGCATCCCTGGGCCCCTCTTGTAACTTCTCTATCAGTATACACTCAAACTAATCCAAGTCACTTGGCACAATATGTCGTATTGGAGCGCGTCCAATTTGATGGAGGATCACAGGAGAGCGGATGTCACATGTATCGTACAGTATTTTTGCGACCAGCTCTGAAAATGTGCGAAAAATATAATGTTTAATGTTTAATGACCAGATGAACTCAATGACTGTACATTTCTTTAAAGATTTTACATGAGCTGTAGGAGCAAGAGTCTAGTTTGTTGCTGGGGGAAATGTGCTGAAGTGTCGCCATCTGCAGGACGCCTGAATATATTACAGAGTATAAACTATCTATCTATCTATCTATCTATCTATCTATCTATCTATCTATAAATGTATATCCCCAAGTGCATCCTGACACTATTTCCTGCGGTGTGTCCCATAAATATTTGGATGAAAACGCATTTCTTGGCAGCCATACTCCAATTTTGCTTTGGAGGAGAAATGACACTCTGAGTAGGAGGTTGAACTGCAGACTGTTAATTGCAGCTGATTTGAAGGTATTTTAAGTCTCATTGGATGAACATTAAAAAGCATACCAGCCTTTTTATCTCCAGTCTCCCATCTCAGGTTGCCAAATGTATCTGTCCAGATTGAGGCTGTAATAACAGTTATTTTTAATATGTAGCCAATAATTCTCTCTGTAGAGGCTGGCATCCTGTCCTATACACATCACCAGACTGTTGATACGTTACTGTCAGGCTGTCCCTCCAGCCTCGTTTGCATTTCTCCCACAGTCCTACTGTTGGTAACTCTCTGTGGCAATATGCAGGTCTTGATTACTGGCGTCCGATTGAAACAGCGTCCAAATTCTCCATCATGTTGTCACATGTACGATCCAAATGCACTGGAGCATGAACCGCCCAGCTGTTACCAGTGATTTCACTTTTGGTGCGCCAAATATTAAATGAAGTTTGGAATTATTAAAGCAATTCTTAGAAAAGTATTTTTTAAGGTAGAAATGAGGACAGAAATGCATTTTTTTTTATTCCTGCTGTCACATTTTGAAGCCCATATAAGGAACTTTTTATAGTGTGTTGATTCTGGCGGCCCCTGTGGACAAAAGCGGTAGTGCTTCTACTGTCTCATTTCATTGATTTCAAGGGGAATCCCACCAAATCGGACCTGGTGGCAGGTATTAAGAATAACTATCAACAAATACCCAATTTATAAAAGGTTGACTGTACAGGACACGCCTTCCCCCACCCTGAGTAAGCTGTAACACCAGTTAAAATCAGCATTTGAAATCCAAATAGTATCTACAGTGGTTGAAATGTCAGCTCCTGTCACTCCAAGTTGTGACGGTACAAAGGCAAACATGACTAAAAGAAACAAAACACCAAGAACATCAACAATCTGCTGTGACAAATGTGACAATGTCCACTTTTATGATTAATAGTGTTAAATGACCTCCAGGTTAAGGTCTATTCAAATGAGAACATTTGGAACATGTTAGGAGGGGTTGATGAAGATGTACGTACATCATCAACAGGAAGGAGCAATCTGTCTCGATATAGCTGGTCCTGGACAAGAAGTGAATCTTTTCTCTCCAGCAGATCATTCATAGAGATATTATCAACAGAGCACTGGAATAATTACAGGATAGGTGCTCATATACGTCTGCACTGTAACCTACAAGATGTCCTGGACGTGATTATAGAGACAAGCAAGAGAAGCAGAAGAGAGTGGAGCACACAAACCAACATAAGGTTAGTGAGAGTACAAAATATAAGGATCATCTTTCTTTTGCCCAATTCATGGCCTAACAGACTGAAAGGGTGACACTCCTTCCTTTACATGGCAATTTAGTAGGCACTGACTCACAGCGTGGGCAAAATTAGTGAAGAAGTAAGAAGAGGGGAAAGCAATAGTCTGAGTCTGTGCAACAATAACACTAAGTGCAACATCATGTCCTTTAATAATAAGAGAACTCCCATTAAGTACGTTGCATATTTTATGATTTGCAGTAAAGGAATCAAGTGGGAAAAGGCACGTATTTACTTGTCTTAAAGGGAAACGAGGAAACTGATTTGTTTTTGGTTTAAAATTTTGAGGAAGCCAGGCTTTCCTTTGCATCGCCAGAGGAAATGCCACGGAGTAGGTGAAACCAGCTTCACGGCCTGTTTTCTAGTAAGATAGGGAGGGGAAAATCTTCTGTGGGTGCATTTTAGGCCAAATTATTATTTTAAATTAAGTTCTTGCTTCAGTCTTTGTCTCATCTATTTTTAAATATCTGGGTTCACCTGCTTCTGCTCCAAGGTAATGGAGGTCTCAGTCACTTCATGGCTGCTCAGATCCTCAGCGCTGTTCATCCTCCTGCTGGCTCAGATCACGATGACTGTCCTTATCCTCACACAACACAGACTGCAGCGAAGACGACTGATGGTGTTTCCTCTGTAGATCCACATATGCTTTTAAACTCAAGATCTATTGTCAGATGATTAGCATCAGATTACATGTTTCTTTCGAGTAAACTTCCTAAGAAACTAGCATTAACTTTTTGTTATGTGTATTATTATATTTTTGGTCTGGATGATGAAAGTTGCCCACACTTTAAGAAAAAGTTTGTGCCTATTGGATTTATGAGTAAATAAAGTTATAGCCACTAACTAATTCTATATATACTATATATAGATTAACATGCAAATTAACGTCTGAAACCCCTGAAAAAAGAACATAAGCACCATTATTGACCCGTTTCATTTATCTTGATATAAGTCTTGAAGCAGGTTACTACAGTAGAGATACACCTCAACAACACAATCTTTAGAGCAACATGTACATGTGCATCAGATATTAATGTATGTGTCTATGTTAGTATAAATTGATAAAGGGTTTTTAGTTACCCACCTTATTGTGTCAAATCTTTTTTATAAAACAACTTCTTCCAGAGCAGGAAATCATGTATAACAATGTCAGACACAAAACCCTTGTCCTCCCTCAAGTGCAGTATTTGTATCATTTTTATTGCAGCCTCTTTACTTCCTCAATGTGTTTGTGACAATTAATGTCTCAATACACTTGGCTGTGGATGTTTTATTATTGTGTGATTTCTGCTCTGAGGGGATGAACAGACATGGGAACATTTACAGCTTGTTTCTCACATTAATTAAGAGGGCATTAACTGACGTGTGTGAGCTTCCTGTTACCAAAGAGGTTGGCTGTATAATCCACTGAAAATATTCAAGTTAAAAAACACATTCATGACACCATTATCAGCGATTCAGCTGGAATGAGGATAATCCCTCTCGAGCCCCACTAATCTTATATTAAAACGTCTCCATTTAGCTCGGGCTCTTTGAAGATAACATCAGTGTTACTCTGCTATTCTGACATTAGCTCATGTTAGTGTTGAGTTACCGGGACAAACGGGATGTGTTATTAATGGGCCTTTCCGTTTAAAGTGTCAAACCTCATTTAAATTACATTAGTTTGACACTACCGGGTTTAAAGTACACGTCACTGTTTTATGTCAGACTAGAAAGGTGGGTTAATTATTCTGCAAACGGAAAAGGTCATCTAAGTAGAGTCTAAGTAGAGTCTAAGTAGGTTAAACTGCCGCTGTGTCCCCACATGTGGCTTACTTTCTTTATAGAGAGGTCCCTGAGCAAAAAAATTAAATGTCAATTTAAAAGGAAGATTATGTTTAATAAGACAGAAAGGGCAGAAAATCAAATGTTTATTAAGTAAAGACATAAACCAAGTGCAAAATGGAACAGCACAGAAATAGAGATTTGATTTTTTCCACTAAACGCAAAGGTTTCGGAGATGATGACAAAAAACAAACAACGGCATGATTTTGAGCATCATGAATACAGCTAAAGCACTCGCAGCTATCCAGAGGCAACACGTTCAACATATCAGGGCTACTGTTAGTCCCAATCATTCATTCATTCAAAAATAAAAATATACATTTTACCTGAGGAAGAACTTGAAAAGCTTTAAACTATTTACATAAAAATGAACTGAGGACACTTATTCGTTTAAAGGAATCTAGTGTTTGAGATCTGTATTCAAGAAATGCCCAAATTATACATCCCACATGCACATTTTCCAATACTAAAAATGTAAACCCCTTCTAAAAACATAATATAAAGAAGAGAAGGCTGACACAACCAAAAGAAGACAAAGACAAACTATATGAATATAAATAATAAAGAGTCTGTGGGGGTGTTAAAATAGATTCACATCCAGTCAGGCAGTGAGGATTCACCTCTGACTCACTCTCTTTAAATAGCAGCGAGCAGTTCCTCCACAGCGACAGTCGTCAGGTCGGAGTAGAAGTTGCCCTCGTTGTCTCCGCCTCCGAACACCAGCAGAGTTCTGCTGACGGACCCTGCGTCCGCGTCTTCATCCTCCTCTGAGAAGCGGTGGCGTGCGGCTGTCTCCATGGTGATGATGGAGTGCCCCGCCCTGGGGACGGAGAGCTGAGGGAGCGTCACCTCCGTCCAGCTGTTGGTGTCTGAACCGTTGAAACAAAGACAAAAAGGGATTAGTGAAGTCAATCTGGGGGAAAAAGGACCGGCAAATTTTTTTTATGAGATTAATCTGGTTTCAACTTCTCAAATATTATATATTTTTTTGTTTAATTTGTCTTCTATGACAGTAAACTGAATTTATTTGGGTGTTGGACTGTTGATTGGACAAAACAAGACATTTGAAAGAGTTGCTTTGAGTACTCTACAGGCCCACCATATTCATGTACCTGTGTACACACATTCTTTTTTACACTCAGATTGGTTACTGCTTTATACGAAATTACAAGTAATAAACGTCAAACCATTAGTCCATCAACTGAAATGTTTAATAAATCATCAGAAATTCCAGCTTCTAAAATGTGATGATTTGCTGTTTATCTTCATCACTGTCAAATTAAATATATTCGGGGTTTGGGCTGTTGTTCAGACAAAACCAGCACCCTTTAGACGTCACCTTAGATCGAGAAACTGTGATGGACCTTTTGTAGACTACAGAATCAACTAGAAAATAATAAGTTAGTTGTAAGCGAGCCCTGTTACTTATAAGGCTGTTATTTATCAAACAGACGTTCTAGACTCTTCATTTTGCTTAAAACAAGGGACTACTTGATGCACTCGGATAAATTAGTCTGAACCAGTAATTCCCCTGAAAAACACCCAGACAACAAAGCTTCTTCCTCAACATGTACTTTGTTTGTAAGTGTTTATTACGAGCTGCCTCTCACCTATATCAAAGACGAAGGTGTCACTGAGAGCGTTGTTTCCGTTGTAACCTCCGTGGATCAGGAACTTTGTGTCCGAGAGCACAACGCTGCCGTGCCAGCTGGAACACGCACAAACGCGCACACACAGATTTAAAGAGCTGCTAATGAGAGCTGATAGTGAAGACATTTCTCCATACCGTTGCAGATATAAAATCAGAGTTTTGATGCTGATACCACAAAGATTTTCAAAAACTTATCTTGAGGAATATATGCGTTTCTTCTTTTTTTATGTATTTACTTGAGCTAGAGACAGCTGAGGGAGGACAGGAAAGGGGGGAGAGAGAGGGAGAGGGGGATGACATGCAAGGGCCACAGCTTGGAATCGAACCACAGCTGCTGCGGTAAGGACTCAGGTAATGTGGTTGTGTGTTTCGTTGCGTACCTTCGAGGAGACGGAGCTTTCCCAGTTGTTTTCACAGCGGAAAACTCCATCAGACCTGAGAAACACAAGAACATTTTCGTTTCAATTATTGATGCAGTGCTACACATTTACACCTCTAACCAGATATATGTGCCTCGTGTATGTGTGTACAGTTGGATATGCGCGTGTGCAAGCTGGTGTGCGGCTCACCAAGGTCCAACATGTACATGTCGTTGTAGCAGACAGGAGTGTCCCATCCACCGAATACATAGATCTTCCTCTCCTGCATCACACATGCAGAGTGACTGAAAGAGAAACAAAGAGGAAGGATGAGAAAAAGAAGTGAATGTGTGTGAAAAGATGACCGACCGTGGATCAAACCATCTTACCCTGAGCGGGGGGAGGGTGTGTCGCCTGTGACAATAGGCTGGTACCAGATGGAGAGGTTGGGATCGAAGATATACAGTGAGTCGCTGCAGCCGTCGGGCTCTGGGTTGGGACGGGGAAACACCCCCCCCAGCACAAACAGTTCACCTCGAAACAGACTGCAGCTGTGGTAGGCCAGAGGAGGAACCTTACCTTGAGCCTGGAGGGGGCGGGAGAGGGGAGGAGGATGTGAAGAAAGAGGAGGAGCAGCAAAAATCGGACTTAGGACAAGAAAAACACACGCAAACCTCCACCATGGTCCACTTCCAGCTCTGCGTGTCAAGGATGTGAACGTCGTTGAACCACTTCTTGTTCTTGGAGCCTCCGAACACAAAGATCCGCCTCGAGTCCGGGTCGTAGATGGCTGTGTGGCCGATTCTGGCCTCGGGTGTTGGACCCTCTGCCAGAGTCTCTGCTGCAACCCAGGACATGTCCTCTGTTGGACAGAGACAAGAACACTCTTTAGGACGGCACCGGAAACTAAAATCCCCTTAAACACAGCGGAGCCTGAGGTGAAACAGAATCCTAAATGTTGTTCATGACTGACCAGTGCAGAGCTTCCACATGGGATCTTTGCAGAACTGCATCCTGGCCCCCTGCCCTCCAATCAGGATGGCTGTCTGAGCATCGATGGGACACAGAGTCTGACCCCAGCGGCCTGATGGACTGACCAGCGGGGCTGCGGGACAACCGGAGATTTGTTATTTCAGGTGTTAATGTCTCCCAAACGGATAAAGTTTCAACATTTCAGACACAGCAAACTCAGAGTTCACACCAGATGAAGATATCGCAGGTGTTGATTTGATGCTACATTCCTGCACTGAACACTTCTCACTACTTGAGAAACACAAACAGGAAACAGCATTGTGTGAACTCAGGTGGGCGATGTGCATCACCGTACCAGCTATGGGACTGAAAAGTGAATAAATATGTCAAGAACAGATATAAAAACAAGTAAACCGGTATGTAATGTGTATGCACAAACTCACCGGTCTGCGTGGGAGTCTTGGCCTGCCTACTCTTCGCCCTGGCTGCGCTCTGTGGAGGCGTTCTTCCCACAATCCCCTGCGCCTCTCCTGCTCCATTAGGTGTAGAGGAGGAGATTTCATAGAAGGAACAGAACGCAAAGAAATGCTTTACTCCTCCACACCGAGCCGCGGGAGTGACTTCGGCTCTAATTATCATTAGCAGTACCACTCGCTCGGGCGTATCGACTCTCTCACCTGTTCCCTTCATCTTTGTTGCATCTCCTCCGCTACTGAACAGCTTCTGGGCCCCCTTGTTTTGACCTCTGGGTTTTCGCACAGGCGTGGTCTTCTCCACGCCGCCATTTGGACACACGTTCTCTTCTTCCCCTCTCTTCGCCAGCTTATTCTCGTCACCGCCTCCCTCTGACATTTGCTCTCTCTTCCTCTTGCCGTTGAGCTCCCGGGCTGCGAGGGGAGCCGTGGTGTCCTGGGACGGTCAGAAGAGTCTGTGTCATTTATCATTCAGCAGAAACTGAACTGGGAAACTATCAGGAAGGTATCATTCATCTGTGGGTCAGATCTCTGCATCCATATTTAAAAGCCATAATAAGAAAAAAAACATTGTAGGCAAACAGGATCAACAGATTTCTCTTCTGACATTAGCCTCAATAGACCAGAATGCAATGCTGCAACACAGACATGCTGGGCTTGGAGGGGGATGTGACACTCCCCACAACCATTAAGTTACGGCCCATTCTGGGGCGCTGAGAGGCATTGTGGTAAATGTAGGAAAGCACAAAAGTAATATTAACAAAAGTATAAATATATTAAATGTTAAAAATATGACACTAGTATCAGTAACAGCCGATCATTCACACAGATTACCTTTGGTGTGTATTCCTTCACAGCCAGGATGAGCTCTGGTTCTGCTTTTACCTGAGGGAAAAAAGTAAAGAGACTTTTTAAAACCAATAACTAAAAAATAAATCTGTTTACCATGATGAAGAATATTGGCAATTTACTCCAAAAATGATTGTTTATAAAAGGATACATTGAATTACTAGGGTATACTGTGTTGTATTTCCATACTTATTGTGGCTTGGCTATAATCTGGAACAACAGAATAACTTCATCTTCTGTTTGTTTGACTATTCCCAGTCCTGAATCTGAAGGTTTGTGTGATTTTTACCAGGTTTCCTCCCTCCAGGGTAACATTCAGTGTGACGGTGTCTGTCCAGGTCTCCTCCTCCCACTGCTCCCACGACAGACACCTGGAGGAGACAAGGTGTCATTAAACCTGATTACTGATTGACATGAGTAGACGACAGTAGATGCACGGGACAGCACCCAGAGTCAACTCTTACTTCACAAACAAGCAGTCAACCTACTTGTTGTATGGAGTCAGCTTTCCGATAGTGATGGGCATCCGGTCAGCATCGTTGAGCTCGGCGTTGGCGCAGATCCTCTCCCCCCACCGCCCGCTGCTGAACAGCACCACCTGCCGGACACTCGGGGGAACTGCAACAGACACCCTGCACGACCCTTCAGCACTGACATGGAGGGAAAAACAAAGAAATAAGTAAATATAAGGTTTCTTATTATGCAGATAAACTAGCATAGACATGGGAAAGTATCATTGGGTATGTGTTGTCTTTGAACGCAGTTAATGTGGATAGATAGATAGATAGATAGATAGATAGATAGATAGAGAGATAGATAGATAGATAGATAGATAGATAGATAGAGAGATAGAGAGGCGCCAATGAGGAGCAACAAATACAAGTTTATGCCTGCTTACAGAAATAGTTACTCAACAACGCTCTAGTTGAGGTTCAGCTACGTTAAGTGTCGCACACATAATGTTTTATGAGCTATCTAACGTTGTAAACACTTTTACCTCAGCAGCCTTTGGGGCGGACCGTTGACTCCAAAAACCGCATAAAGTCCGAAATCATCCATGTTTGCGTTTTCCTCCAGCAAAGACGTTTAATGTCGCAACTCTTCCCGCTGTTCTACTTTATTTCCACACGAGTTTTAAAACGTGAAAACAGCGATATCGTGTGTGTGTGTGTGTGTGTTGCTCCGTTCAACATCTCCCGCCACAGATATGTGTACAATATCTGAACTCCGCGCGAGTCCTCGGTAAGAGATTGTGAGCGCGTGTTTTGTTGTTCAGAGTATCTGCACGGGTGGAGTCTGCGCCTTTTACTGTACAGAACTAGAGCTCCGCCCATGCAGTACATGCTGGTGAGATATCGAGCACCCTGCATGCTGTAACTAAGAGGCCGCAAGCCAATCAGAAGCCTGGAACCAGCGCCGCTGCAGGACGTCACAAAAGCTGCGTTCAAGAACACCTGTCTTTTAAATTAGGGACTATTTGTTTCTTGCACTGCACTGAAACACACTGTTTTATTATGTTTTATTCCATTTTATTTTATTATTTTTAATTGTGTTCTTTTATATGTACATGTTTCTACAAAACTGCCTTACCATAAAGATACATCACATCATCAAATAGATTTATCATTGGTTTGTTTCAGTGGGACTATTTACACATATACCAGGAAAAGGCTTCCAATCTTCTAAAAATATGAATATTATTCCATGTGTTATTTGGTCTATTTGATCATAGTACACAACAAATGATTTTAGCTACATCCCAAACAGTAGATTAGTTCGTTCCACAGAGTATGTGTCAAAAACAGTCCCCAGTGTTTGAGGTGACGAAAAAAAGCAACAAGCAGAACTTGAAGATCAAAAGCACTTATGAAGTGGATGCTAAAGGCTCACAGGATACAGGAGGGTACACTCACTGTATGCATCGGGTTCATGTCATTTTCATGCAAATCTACATGGCATCTGTCATGTTTCTGAAGGCAGCGGCTTTTTCAAATGAACCTTCAACACTGAGCAAACAGTTGGCAAACAGCTGCCTCCAAAGCTCACACTGCACACTGAAAGGTTTGTCACAGATACTTTACTGTACGTTGATAATTCAAAGATAAATTGTCAATCTATCTACAGATGGAAAAAAACAAAATAATGAACCTTAATTTCTCTGTTTCTCTCTGTCTTCCCCTGCAGTATGAACAGATTTGCTGTCAACTCCTCTTCCTCAGCTTCAGGGTATTACTGGACAGAGTGTAAGACTTATGATGATGGTTCTGGCAAATTAGGTGGACCTTCGGCAGGCCTCCTTATCCTTTTGACCTCCTACTGCTTTGAATTCTTTGTTGGCACCCCGGCAAACCTCTGGCTCATCTCTCACATCCTCAGGAGAAGGTGAATATTGTCTAAATATTTGGTGTAATGTAGTGACATAGCATGTACAGAACTAGTCCCATAATGCATCCTCGATTAAATGTCAAAACAATAAGAAGGAGCCTTATTTATTCATATTCTCCTTGTTAATACCAGTTCTTGCTGAACTTAATTTTCTTCTTCTTTTTCTTCGTCTTGTTTACTAAATTTAAATTTAAAGGTCAAAGGTTTCCGGGGTCCTTCCTGCAGACTTCTTCCCCCTCCACCTGGCCCTCACCCAGCTGCTCTTCTACCTGGTCTTACCTCCATTCTTTGCCAACCATTTTCTGTGGCAGAGTAACTTTCTGATGTCCATGATGACGTTCCTGATCGCGATGGTGCTCGTCATGAAGCCGCTGCTCCTCTGTCTGGTGTGTGTGGAGAGGTACATGGCTGTGGTTCGACCCTTCGACTATCTGTGTCGATGAGTGTTTAAGTGTTAAAGCATTTACTCAAGTACTCCTCTTAAGTCCAAATGTAAGGTACTTTATTTTACTTTATGCTTCTGGTCCACTACATTTATCTGAAAGCTTTAATCGTTACTAGTTACTTGGTTTACTAAAAGTTTACTAGTTAGTTTACTTTACACATTTTTAAAGATTTTGGCACTCAAACATACAAAGAACTTAGAAAATATGATGTGTTGTTATAAGTTAAAATACCTAAAAGTCAATTAATCAGTTGACAGAAAATAAATTGGCATCTATTTTGATAACAAATCATCTTTCCTGTAAAAACGTTTCATGCTTCCAGCTTCTGCTATTATTTTTTAATAATGTTAATTTATTTGTAATAATTTTGAGGTTTGGACTGTTGGGTGGACAAAACAAACATTATGAAGATTCACTTTGGGCTCCGGGTAATTGTGAAAGTCACATAACACTGTCTGTCTTCTGTATGTATAAAAGAAAGAATGGTGATAAATGTGAGATATAATGAGACTGACGCTGGTGTACAGGTTGTTGTAAGTAGGATTGCAACTAAAGAATTTTTTCATTACCGATTAATCTTCTGATTATTTTCCAGCTTAATTGATTAATTGTTTGGTCTATAAAATGTCAAAATTCAAGGTGATGTCTTTAAATTTCTTGTTCTTTCAGTCCAAAGCCCAAAGAAAAACTCCATATTCGAGAGACTGAAAATAGCATTTCCTGAACTTACTTTTGCCGATTGATTATCGAAATAGTTTACGATTTTTTTTCTGTCGATCAACTAATCCATTAGTTGACTAATCGTTACCGCTCTAGTTGCAAGTAAACTTTGATCGGACACTAACTGCTCCTAGCAACCGCTAGTGCAGCAAAAAGCTGCAGTACTCCTTTAATGGTCAGTTTTACTATGTTTATAATTAAAATTCAGAATTGAAAAACTTGTATCTTCACTTGCAACGCACTATATGAAAGTTCTGACTTGATTATAAATGCAAAGTGGTTGTGTGTGTGAAACATGTGGTACATAATGTGTGACTCTCTGCTCTCTCTTCTCTTCCGTCCAGGTTCAAGGCACATCGTTACAGATGGGGACTGTTGGGTGTCTCTTGGGGCATTTATGTCCTCATGGCTTCAATTTCTCTTGTTAAGCACTCTACCATCACACTGTGTGTGTTTTTCCTCCCCGTTCTAGCCATAGACACATTCTGCTGCCTGTCTGTTCTTAAAACATTAAGGAAACCTCCACCGGGTGATGAAAAGATCACAGACAAGAAGAAGAAAGGGGAGGACACAAGAGGTCAGGTAGTGAAAATGGAGGAGGGAAAACAAGAGCAGAGCGGAGGTAAAGAAGGAAGGAAAGAGGACAAGGTGAAGACAAATGAGAGAAGCACGCTGAGGGGAAAAGGAGAGATGAATTCCATGAAGAAAAAATCCTTCATCACCATTTCCATCATCCAGGCTGTCCTCATACTCAACTACCTCCCCCTCATCATCACCCTGCCTATAGAAGGACTCGTTCCAGCTCGAACACTGAAGTGTCAGTACCTGGCCATGGCTTTTGCTGCTGTAGCCAGCTGTGGCTGCCTGCAGCCTCTGCTCTACCTTCACAGGCTGGGCAGGCTGACATGTCTGACGGCACAAAACACCTAACTGCATCACTAATATTGCCTCTGTCATTTACAGACTGCAGTGTGACAGTAATTACTGTAAGCAAAGTTTGCTTTGCTCTAGATGATTTGTTCAATGTAGAACTGTTAATTGTAAATTTTACTGTAAGTTAATACATATGTGTAGACCGTGATGCCAAAGATATACTGATAATTAGTTAAAAAAATTGATTTTATTAAAAGGTTTGTGTCAAAATACATTTAACTTTG